ACTGAAATTCTTTGAGTCTCCAGTACAACTGGTGGGGTGGTGGCTAGAACTGTAGTTATGAGATTGGTGCTGGCTCTGGTAGGGGGGGAGAGAGGGCGAGGTTTGCACGCTTGAGATCCCAAAGAGAATGTGCCATTACATAACTGTGCAGCGGGGACTTAGTCCAAAATTGTATTTAATCCTGCTCCTGATGCTGTGGCTCCTCCTAAGTGCTTTCACCAGTGATGTTGCAGTTGGTGCTACAATGCAGCAGTATGACGATGTGATCCTTACCAGTTTGCAACAGCAAAAGGCTGGAATTCCCTTTGGTAGCCTGGGGAAAAAAAAACAACCCAAAACCAAACAAAAAATCAGGATGGTCATTATGTCCCCTGTGGAAAAGGAAACCTGACAGGGCCACAAGAATCACAAAAGTGCCTCGACCAAGACACTTTCGACATGAATAGATGGGAAGGCTTTAAAGCATGCAAGGGATACAGATACAACTTGCTTGTTAACTTCTAACACAGAAGATCAGGTACAGGGTGCCTAGGACCACAGAGAACCCTTTCTTAAATGGAAGTATGAAAATTGGCTGCTTTTGTGTAAAAACTTCTCTACATAGCCAAGATTTTCTTAATGCACTTTCCTTTGAGTAAATGTGAATACACATAAGCTTTCTTCTTCTCTTCCCTTTCCTCTTCCTCTTCTCCTTCCCTTTCCCCTAGATATGAACTTTCATTAGTGATGTTTTGCCAAAATGGTTTGTTTCAGATCCTCTGTAGTTTGTTTGAAGCTGGGTTCTTGGGCTTGCAGAATAAATAGTACAGCATCCATTACATTGCTCAGTTCTCTTGAGGGGAATGAGATTAGACTCTAAAATTAAAGGCAAGTTTTCAAACTTCAAACCCTTTGACGTAGTGTGATATGCAACTCAAGACTAAGATCCTTTCAAGCCAAGTTTAAGAAATATAAATATGAATATATATCTAGCTATATCTCATATATTCTTGCATGTATGGAGAGATAAACATGCAAACTAAATGTATCAGTGCCATGCTGTACTATAAATAAGAAAATACTTTAACCTTTCATTAGAGCAGCTGTTTCCTTGCACTTGATGCAACATCTGCTTGACTGACTGAAGGAGTTATTTTGGGCTTCTGCTGATATTTGGCAGTACTCTTGTACTCTTTTTCTTTTTAAATGAAAATATTTCTCCTACATTTTACACATTCTTTCTAGTAGATCTTGTAAAGTTCTTAGTTTATCTTGATGTGCCTTTTATATTTCATAGTAGAAATGTAAGAAATGCTCTTCAGCAACAGAAAACCTTCAGCATTATTAAGGTATCCATCCTGGGGACATGAAGGGGGGAAAAAGGAACTAAGATTTTTTTCACATTTCCCCCCCCCTGTTGCTTACACTGATTTTAAATGGTGTATTAACTGCAGAAGTATGACTTAACCAAAACTAAATTTCCTTCTTGGAAAATTTTTATTACTTTTCTGTGGTATTCTTCTCCTTTCTGTATTTACTTCAGTGTGCCTGATAATCTCAAAACTCAGTAGTTAGAGTAAAAGGAATTGTCTCCTTGGTGTGACGCTAGCTGAAGAGTAACTTTAGTTCTATATTAATGCTGTGCCCTAATCATATTTTAAGTGTTGAGCAGGACTAAGCTTCTGGATTTTTTTTTAATCAACTCCTTGTATGATCTGAATCAGAAAGTTATAGAGAGCTGGTGGCTTGATGTTATGTCTCCTGTCTAGAAAAATCTTATAATCTTCAAAATAGGTAATCTCCACCACAGATGAACTACATAAAGGTAAAGGAAAAGAAATCCTTAGATAACCTGCATAAAATCAAAGCTGGGGGGCTGCTTGGCCAAAGGGAGCCAACTTAGGGCTGGATCTCAGGAGCCAGTTAGAGTAGAGGAGATGGATGGGTGGAGGTCAGAGCTGGAGGCAGGACGGCAGCTGGTGAAGAAGCTCCTCACCACTAGTGCCTACAGCAGGCACTGCTGCAGAGTATTGGGGCTTGGTTGGTTTGTTTTTTAAACAGACGGCCCATTCCCAAGTACAGTAGCAGTTTGTGATGCAGACTGAACCTCCTAAATTTGTGGCAGTATGTTGGTGTTGTAATGAGATGCATTAACACTTAAAGGCTAATTAAAGATAATGAGATATAGAGAAAGTGGAAGGGAGCACCATGTGCCACGCCTCTGAAAGCTGGAGCAGGGAAAGATGGCTTTTGATGGAAAGAACTTATTTTCTACATAGACACTTTTATAGTTTCACGTGAATATGTGTGTAGTAACTGATGTGATGCCATACTGCAAACTGGTGGTTAAACAGGAGAAACTGGGCTATCATGGAGAAATTGTGAGTGTGTATAAGGGCCTGACATAAAAGACCTAGCTGAGAAGAGGGGGAAGCCACCTCGGAGAGAGCTCACTATGGGAATCATTATACATCAATTGTCAGATCAGTCTTGTGTTACCTGCTTCATTTAATGGCAAAGGTACACGTAGAAAGATTTTGCTGCTAGAATTTGTTGATGACATGAAGTTAGAAACATGCTTTTAATGTAGAGAGAAAGAAATATTACACAGAAATTTTGGGGGGGGATTTCATAGGCCATGGGTGCAGACATGGGGGACGTCTGAAACATCTCTGTGGTGCAGAATACTTCTTTCTACCTAGCCTCCTTTCCCTGAAAGGGATGGAGTAATAAGGGTGAGCTGAAATTTGGAGCATTGTGTTTTTAGGGTACTACAGCCAAAATGTCAGTTACAAGCTTGGAGTCAGAATAATTGAATGGAACAAAGTAGGGAAGGGTACGAAGTAGCTGAGCAGACCACGCAGTGAAGTTATGAAGAACCTGTGTGAGCTCTGGGGGCACAATCACAGAAGGTGTTTCCAGTAGACAGGGGAAATTACTTGTGGTGTTACACAAGCATCTGGTGAGACATCCTTCAGTATGCTTCAGAAATAGCCATCTGTTTTGAGAGGAGAGGAAAAGAGAAGAAATTGAAATGTGCAGAGATGGGCTCCTGGGACAAATGTGGAAATGGATAGCTCACCAGAGAAAGCTTGGAGAGCTTGTCTTGGGTAGTCCAGCTAAAGAAATCAAATATGTAAGTGTTGTCTATCCATACAGAGGTAAAGACAGCTAAGAGGGGAGAAACTACTTACATTGAAAGACAATATAAGCAAAACAACTGGACATAGTCTGGCCATTGCTTAATTGAGGCCTAGCATTTTGAAGTTGTAATCAGTTGCGGTGGCCAGTTTTACAGAGCAAACAGGAATAGTGATCTGCTTTTTCTGCTAAATCTTGGTGAGATTCGAAAACAATTCCTTAATCTGGAAATATCAAAGGAAATGGAATTTTAATGTTTATACCCAAACGTGTTCTGAATTTTATGAATAATTGTCTTTGATTAAACAGCATTCCTCCATCTTCTCTTCTTTAAGTTTTTTCATGATTTCTTGGTATGCAGTGATGCTCTTGCAGTGGCTGTGGTGCTTTCTGAGAGACAACTACCACTTGGGTTCTTTCCTAGGCTGATGGCAGCACTTGTATTTTCTGAAGGGCGTTAGTGGGGAGTCAGGTAGGGCACCCTAGCCCTTTTGTACTAACTCTTTTTATCTTCCCTACACTTCAAGTAGAGACTGAATTGAGGAGTCATTTTCTTTGTTGACCTTGAAGTGTGCAGGATGATAGAGATTGTAATTTGGATACCTCCATTAGGTGCTTAAAGATAGGGACGATGAATCCAAGCCAAAGCATTCAAGAAAGAATAGACAATCTATCTGGAAAACTTCTGAAATAAGTGGTGAGTAGGTAACTGAGGCAGAGCTGCCATATTCAGTGAATGTGATGTGCTGAGGTTTTTTGCCCTCTAGAAGTTTTGAACACTTGTACATTTTTCCATTTGTATTTGATCTAGGAAACAGCTCACTGAATTTCCAACAAGGAAAGCTTTGTTGCAATTTAAAATGAGAGTTGCAGTTTGACAGCATGATTTGGAAAGAAGTATCCAAGCAGTTAGCATGCTAACATCTTGCTAAAAGTTGATGAAATTTAGGCTTGTAGGCCAAAACAAAAAAGCAGCTAGACCTCTGCTTGCTGTAGGCATTGGTAAGCACTAGCTACCCAAACACATTTTGTGACCTTGCTAGAAATTGCTTGAGGAGCCAAAATCTAATCTCTTTTGCATTGTAAGTAATGTCATAGTGAACTCTTTATAGAGGTTATTTTGATGCTATATGAAAAAGGAATTATATTCAGTAACCTATAAGTAGAAAAGACAAAAGTTATAGCTGAAGATTCTGATGGGTAGATAAAAGAAACAGATGACAGTAGTAACACCACATCATAGTCTTTCTGTGTTGCATGTGATCTCAACCACTTTGTCTGTAGTGAGAGATTGGTGGTGGAGCAAAGTTTTGGGCTTGGAACTGTGGCAGAAGATTTCAAGGTCTGTGGCAGCTGGGACTGCACAAGGGTGCTGCCTGGCTCCCTGATGTTTTGGAGGAGGTGCGTTGGGTGAGATCAGGGATGACAAATACCATAGTGGAGAGCATGCTACGGCTTTTACTGAGGCTCACAGGCTATTCCAGTGCAGAGTTGGACAGTTTTTAGGGCTCTTTGGGTTAATTTTCCAGTTTTCTTTTTCCTTTTCATTCCAGAAGATGCATTGCCAGCGTGTCTTGGATGGATTTTTTCCTACTCTGCTGAAAGCTTTTTTTAATAGGCAGTGACTGAATCGACTGTCCTATCAGAATCTTCTGGTGTTTATCATCAAAAATGCCAGCTGTTAGAATTTAATCCTCTTAGATTATTTGTAAACACACAAAATTTTATTGTGGTCTTCAACTCTATTTTTAACACCATCGTTCTTTTCAAATCACTTTGAGTCATTCTTCTGAAACCAATGACAACTTTTCAGTAACTTTAAAAAAAAAAAAGTCTTCTCTGGATACTTTCCTAATACTACCTTTTTTTTTTTTTTTCAGATAAATTTGCGCCTCATCTTGGTGAGTGGGAAAACGAAAGAGTTCCTGTTCTCACCCAACGACTCTGCTGCAGATATTGCAAAGCATGTGTACGACAACTGGCCCATGGGTGAGTCGCTGTGTGGCTTTGCCTTTTTAACTGGCAGGCTGGAAGCTTCCCTGCATTTTCAGAGCAAAGTGTCAATAAACCAATCTCTGTTCTCAGCGTTCAAATTCAGTATGTTTATTGTGTATCTGGATATAGATTTACACAGAAATACAATTGTCTTCTTGTCCTTTTCCCTGTTTCTTCAGTAGGTCAGGTTTTTTGATGTCTGGGCTATTTCCTGATTGTTTTCCAAAATTTGCTTCCCCACACTGAAGTAGTTTTTTCCTCCTGTGTTTAGACACTTTTCCTGATGAATCTCGTTAGAGGATTTACCAAGTGTGAGGAAATGTTGGTGATATAAAACTTCTTATGTGAGGACAGCTAATGGAAAACATAAGAATGCATTAGAGAAATTGAATCTGAAATGATTCTCGCTGCCTTGTGTTGGGAAGTATCTGCAGTAATGTTTTCCCAGGAAAAAAAAATTAAAGAACATTTTAAGAGATCTTTAAAAGACCAAGAGAAACTGAGATTGTTTGTATGAATATATTTGGTGTTATGCAGGGATACTAGCTTTGGAAAATGGACTTGAAAGCTTAAGATGTGCATTCACATATGTGAATAGCTCCACAAAAACAAAGTGCTTCTGTTCTCCCCAACTAAGATTGTATGGGAAAATAGCCAAAACAGACATAGCATGACATACAATGAAAGAAAATGCTTATTTTGGTACAGGACTGCATTTAGGTTACTGTGTTGTTGTTAAAAAAGACTGTTTACACAGACCGAAACATTACAATATCTGTTTCTGTGGTGCTTTTGTCAAAGGTATGGTAGATAATTCATGCCAAAAAGTTAGTGTTGATAATCCATTTTTTAGGCTTAAACTGGTCTTTGAGGTCAGGAAGAACAGTTTCACGGGACTTGTTTGCTGTTTGATTTGCTGGGATGCAGCAGATGTACTTTGGAGAACGTGTGGTGAAGGAGGAGGGGTTTAGTCCTCTGAAGTATTAGACACAGACGTAAAACATTTTTACACTAAGAAATCTGGTTGATGTAGCATCTGTGTAGCTACTGTACATATTTTAACGTGTGTCAACATAGTTGTCATGATCAAATGTTCTTTGTCTAATTTTATCTGAATTAGTAAAGGCAGAACTGTTTGTTTTTTCTTACCCAAGTTTGTTCCTGAACATGTGGTCTTGTGTTTCCAGTCTGTGGAGGGCTTGAAGGTTGCAGGTTCTGAGTTTTGTGTTGGGAAGAAACACAGATTTTAGTCTCTTTTTTAAAGAAAAATAAAAGTAGAGATGGGCATGGAAATGTCAGTTCAAATACCTGCTGTTCTGAGGGAGTGCTCTAAATCTTGACAAATATTTAATTGCCTGTGCAAAGAAGAATAGCGTTAATTTAAAAGACTGAGGAAGAATCTATTTCACAATAGCATATAGGTTTTCCCAAACATTAGCCCACTAGCTGTTTTCAGACTGAGAGTACTCTTCTTTGCCCCAGCACTGAAAAATCTTGATGAGGGCTAGAATTTCCTTGAAAGAGAGATGCTATGAAATGGTTTCTTTTACCGTCACTTTGACTTGTCATGATTTGTGGGGAAAAAAGGTAATGAAATAGCCTGTCACATGCTGGCAGGATTGAGGCAAACCCATTCTCCCTCTTTTGACAATATCATCATTAGTTAAGGGTCTCTTGACTTGTAGTGGAAAATGCCAAATTGATGTTAATGTCTATCATCTAGATAGGTTACCTGTTCTTTCCCCCACCCCCCATTTTCTTTTAAATAATAACTTTTTTCTTGTACAGCAATTAGCTGCTGAACTGAAAAAAAATCATAGGTAAATATTTTCCTCTTGGCTCATTTAGTCATCAGTGGAAATTAAAATTTGACATTATGTCAGGAAGAAATGTTTCAGATTGTCAGCCAAGAAGCAAAAATTAAAAGGATGGGTAAATTGGCAGCTTAACAATGAGCAAATACCTGTGCCAAAATACAGTCTGCCTTCTTTTGGTTGCTGTTTTACGTCATTATGGCACTGTAACCTGGCTGAACTTCTCTTCACAGCCATAGTACAATGTGGTTCAGACTGGGTGGAGTTAAAAACAAAACAAAAAAAATCTTAAACAAACAAACAAACAAAAACACATTTGCCCTAGCAGTGTGATAATTCAGACCCTTAATGCAGCCCACTTCACAGCATAGCAAAAAGGGCATCTGCTTGAAGTGCAAGACCGTTGAATCAGACCTTGAGTGGAAATACTTGAAATTCAGATAGCTTGGTTGCCTTATTTGATCTAATGTGACAAAGTAGGTACATGGCAGCACCCGGGGACCTTGCAGGCTCTGCTGTTGATGCCTCTGCTGTGGAGGCCCTGCCTCCACTGAGCTCTGGGGCACCGTGGCTCCTGCTGCCCGCCCCTCTGCCTGCTTGCTTTTTCACACCAGCTGCCTCTCCCTACACTCTCTGCAGCTGTGGCCTTGGTTTTAAATGTTTCCTCTTCCCCCCTTTTCACTTCTCCTTTTGTGGTGCCAGTTGCTGCTGCCCGTATGTTAATTGTATGTTCCCAGTGAACAGGTTGGGGCTTGTCATGATCCCTTGCTGAATATTCATTTTGGTACATAAACACTACAGCAGCAGAAAGAGGGAACATTTGTGAACAGCCGTTGCCAGATATCTGGTCAGCTAAGAAACAGCAGACATTGCATTCCCAGAAAGCCCATGTAAAATTCAGCATTTCCAGGGTTTAGGATATTTGTTCTGGAAGCAAAGTGCGTATTTATTTGTTACTCAGGTTGTGACGGGAAACAGTAAAAGAGCAGGAAAAGATCATTTAAGCTTATAAATGATTTATGATGGCTCAAGCATTGTTGGAAATGCATTACAGCAAAGTGCACACTTGCTTTTCCCGAGTCACTGTTTGCCACATAAGAAACATCCATGGATTGTCCTTTGCGAAGTTCCTTAAAATGTGTCAGTCGGAGGCTGCTCCGAGCGAGCTCTCTGTTCCGGCTCTGCGGGGGCTCCTCGGGTCACTGCCCCCTCTGGACATGGAACTGGTTGGATCTGGCCATCCCCACACACCGCTGAGCAGCGTGTCAGTGCTGTCATCCGAGAGTCCTGGTTCCAGCCACCCCTGCATCACATGTGCCTGGGCTGTGTGTGTGGCCGCTCGGCATTGCTGGAGAGCGGCTCCGCTTAGACAATTAACTGCCGGCGAGGAGGAGAGCCACGGCTTGAGAATCTTCTGAATGGCAAGAAATTGAGGCAATTTTAGCCAAGTGGATATTAAGCCACAGGAGGCAACTTGCATTTATGAAATACTTCATGTAGGACTTGTGTGTGTGTTAAATATCTCCCGCAATCTGTGAAGGAAGTTAGCAGTAGTTATATTTGCAGGCATAAAACTGTGTTTCAATGCCCAACCTCCAATAATAAATTTAAGAACAGATTTCAGAAGTACTGGCCTTGAATTATATTTCTGTATCTTCAGCTGATGTGCTCTCTAGAGTGCTTCATGCAAGAAAGTCCAACTGTTCTTGTTTCTTCTTGGGTAAAGGTGAGAGAAGGAACAAAAGATGCTTCTATTACAACATAACTGTGAAATTCTCTTGCTTCTTTTCAGATTGGGAAGAAGAACAAGTCAGCAGTCCAAATATCTTGCGGCTTATTTATCAAGGAAGGTTTCTTCATGGCAATGTCACACTAGGAGGTATGAAAATAATTTTCATCCATGTTACAGCCAGGGACAGGGGATATTTATTTACAGTGCAGTAGATACTACTTCACTGTTCAAGATCACAGTATGGCTTGCTATATACTATTTTTCTTCTCCATAGAGTGGCATTGTATCTTTTTGTGTATTTTTCCATCGTGTTAGCGCTAGTTAAACTTTGGGAGGCACCACCTGGTAAGTCAAGTCTCCTCTAGCATAAAGAGACAGTAAGAGTACTTTTATTGGTTGTCTTTCTAAATAGAATACTTTGTTCTACCAGTCTCATGCTACATTTCCAGGGTAACCTTCTTCATAAACGTCTTAACTATGTTAAAATGTTTGCTAAAGATGATGATGATAATTGGTTAAACAGTACTTTAAATCTTAGTGCAATGAAGGAAGATTCACTATGAATGAGAATGAGGGGAAGCATTCTTGCTGTCCAGTGCTCTCCCAGGGATACAATTGCATAGTTATGTGAAAACAAAAGTAAATGGCTTCGCTTCATATGCTAAGGAACTGCAGTTCCACCGTGCCCCCTTGTGGCAAGTGCTCTCCCACAAGTTCAGGGTATCTTTGCTATGGCTACCACGTAAATTTGTGACAATTATCTTTCCTTTTGTAGGTGAAAGTTGCCAGTGTGAATATCAACTCTGCCAATGACTAAACAAAATGAAACTCTTCTCTGTACCACTTGAAAAGCAAATTAATACTCCTCCTTTCTCTGTATGTGCAGATTGTTCATGCATTTGGCACTTGAGTGCAATACAGAGAGGAGAATATAATACAAAATCACTAAGTGTTTTTGAAATTAAGATCATAGAATGGTTTGAGTTGGAAGGGACCTTAAAGATTGTCTAGTTCCAACCCCCCTGCCATGGGCAGGGACACCTTCTACCAGACCAGCTTGCTCAAAGCCCCATCCAACCCAGCCTTGAACACATCCAGTGATGGAGCATCCACAGCTTCCTTGGGCAGGCTGTGGCACTGTCTCACCACCCTCAGAGTGAAGAACTTCCTAATTTCTAATATAAGTCTGTGCTCTTCCAGTTTGAACCCATTACCCCTTGTACTATCCTGTAAAATGTCCCTCCCCAGCTTTCTTGTAGGCCTTCAGATACTGGAAGGCTGCAGTAAGGTGTCCCCAGGGCCTTCTGGTGGTCTTTCTGTGAAGTGACTGGGATGATACAGCCATTGATTTGCTTCCTACCATTACCAATGCTGGCTAGTGATACACTTTTAGAATAGATTTACTTCCCATATAAATAATTTTTTAATGCTGATATATATAGAAACAAGATCACTGTCAGTTCAGCTGGCAGAACTCAAAAATTTTAATTTGTATGTCTACCAGGTTTACATCAATGGTTGAAGTAGGATTGAAAGACAAATGGTTTAGTCTTGGGTCATCTCATCAATCACAGAATGGTGGGGTTTGGAAGGGACCTCTGGAGACCATCCAGTCTACCCTCCCTGCAAAGGCAGGTTCATCTAGAGCAGGTTTCACAGGAACATGTCCAGCGGCATTTCAAAAGTCTCCAGAGAAGGAGACTCCACAAGTGCTCTGAGCAGCCTATTCCAGTGCCTTATCACCCTTGAAGTAAGGAAGTTTTTCCTCATGTTCAGACAGAACTTGTGTTCCAGTTTGTGCCTGTTATCCCTTGTCCTGTTGCTGGGCACCAATGAAAAAGAGATTGACCCCATCCTCTTGATGACACCTGCCCTGTAGATATTTATAAGCTTTGGCAAGATCCCCTCTCAGTCTTCTCTAGGCTAAACAGACCCAGGTCTCTCAGCCTTTCCTTGTCAGAGAGATGTTCCAATCCTCTAAATCATCTTTGTAAGCCCTCTGTTGGACTCTCTCCAGTACTTTGTCTCTCTTGAATGGGGAGCCCAGAACTGGACACAGTACTCCAGATGTGGCCTCAGTAGGGCAGAGTAGACGGGGAGGAGAATCTCCCTTGACCTGCTGGCCACACTCTTCTTAAGGCACCCCAATATGCCATTGGTCTTCATTGCCATAAGGCCATGTTGCTGCCTCCTGGTTAACTTGTCCACCAGGACTCCCAGGTCCTTCTCCACAGGGCTGCTTTCCCACAGGTCAGCCTCTGTGCACTGGTGCATGGGGTTATTCTTCCTCAGGGGTGCAGGACCCTGCACTTGCCCTTGTTGAACTTCCTGAGGTTCCCCTCCACCCAGCTTGGCAGCCCATCCAGGTCTCACTGAATGGCAGCACAGCCTTCTGGTGTGTCAGCCACTCCTCCCAGCTTGGTACCATGGGCAAGCTTGCTGGCACAGGTGCTAGTCTTACCCTGTGTTTCCAGGCAAGGACAGCTAAATGGAATTTTCTTTGAGATTCATCTCTAGGTGTTCTTGACTACCAGTGCTTGTTCCCTTCAGTGACATTTATCCAAAACCAAACCAACTTTGAATATCTGTTTAATATGTTTAATACATTGTTTAACAGGTTAGGCTGAAAAATAATAACTGCCTGCTGCTGACTCTTGCATTAACTCAGGTCTGTAGATTTTTAGCACTTTACTTGGATTCAGGGCATTTTAGTTCCTTTGTAATCATTCATGCATTGCATTTTAATTATCATGATTTCACCCTAAGGATCTTACATTATATATATGTATTAGTGGTTTTCAAAGATTTTTGTTGCTGTATTGTTTGAAGATAAAAAACATTGGCTCTATTCAGTACTAATGAAATTATCTGGAGTAAGATTATACAGCTGAGAAGGGAACAGCTCTTCCTGAAGCAGCCTGAAAATATCGTTGCTTTAGTTTATGGTCTTCATTAACTGTAACCCTAAATGAACTAGTTACCTTTATTAGGGGGAAGGAGGGGAATTTCTCACTAAATACAATATTTAGTTTCTTAAGCTGTTACAGTACAGTTCCATTAAGCTTTTCTATCTGCAGCTCTCTATAACTGAATTATAGCACTTACTGTTTTATTTGCTTTAGGTAATTAGGAAATATTGACTGGAATTTGGATCTACTGTGTACTGAAAGTCTCTTTTATCAACTAGTGAACAAAAGTTTCCAAGGAAATGGTTTCATGTTTTCTTTTTTAACAGGAGCCCATTATTGTTCACATTCAGAAATGACATTGCAATGTTCTAGGTGTAACCTCGTGTGTGTGCATACTGTCTTATGAATTTGAGGCTCCTTTAAACTAAGAAACATCAAAAAATGACAAATTGATAAGATGAACTGTAAAGTTTGCAACGCCACTCTTGCCTGGAGCCACACTCTTGATGTGTCCTGCCTGTGTGAAGGGCTTGGGAGTTAGCTAGCAAGACAGAGTCTGTTGTTCAGCTTCCAGAGGAAATTTCATCCTTTAGCTAATTTTTGGTGTGCAGTTTGGTTTTGAATTAACAGTAATTAGAGAAGTAACACACAGGGGGGAAGGGAAGCCAACCCGTCCTGTGCCTTACACATACCAAAAGAGGGGATGAAAAGTAAATTCTGACAATAGAAAATATGGAGTGAAAATGGAATTAAACAGATAGGCAAGGAATTAAATAGAAGTTCAGTTGAAATGAGAGAAAAGGGTGAGAGAATGAAGACAAGAGCAAGAAAGGATTACTGAGCATAGGTTAGAGTGCTCAGAGTCTCTCATGGTGTTCCAAGCAGGAAGCTGGAGAATGCTAATGAGGACTTTGGTAAACTCTGCAGACCTCTAGCTGAAATGAGTTAACTGAAATATTAGCATACTTTTAGTTGATTACTGTGAATAATGAATCTCCACAGCTCGCTCATCAAGTCTCCTCAAGTGTCTTGATATTATGAAAGTTGTCCCTAATACGATTAATTTATAATATTTTGCTCTTTCTGTAATGGCTTCTTAAGAGTTTGCTATGAAGACACTCCTTTCCCATTGAGTTTAACACAGTTAGTGTGCTCTTTGCAGAGTTTCCAGTTGGGTTACAGAATCGAGCACCCAAAACACTTTGTACTTGTTAGTCTTTAAGCTATCAATAGCTTCTAGTTGCAGGCACAGGCAGGGCTTTGGGTAAACTAAGCAAATGACTTAGTAAACTAACATCTGACTTTCTACAGAAGTGGCTTTTCCCAAAGTACAGCTACTTCAAAGAAGCTTGTGGAGCTGCATATCCCTCCATATGCTTACACCTGTGTTTTAGTCATAACTTGCCTGTAATCTGCTATAACAGCAATGTTGTTGCTAGGCTTGTATTGAATACATTTAGTAACAAAATCCTAGGTTTGTTTATTTTTATTACTGAATTTTGAGTCTATGCTCTCAGGATTAAAATAGACATTTTTCTCTTCAGTTACCTTCACGTTTAATGGAGATTCATTATTCATTTGCCTAAAATGCCTTGGTGCCCTGTATCTGAAAATAGAAGATGTAAATTTAATTTGGGAGGAGAAATTCTACTCAAGTCAGAATGATGGGTTAAATTCTTGTTACATTTATCATTAACTTTTTTTCATCTATAAGGGCAGGAGGACAAAACGTAGAGCATCTTTAGCTTACATTTATCAGAAAGGCAAGCGAGGAAGATGCTTAATTTTAGGAGCTGGAGAGAGGAAACAAAACTAAAATTACATAAAGAACCTGTACAATTAACTGCTCCCCTGCCAATAACTGGAAGGAATCGAAGTTCAGAGTATTAAACCTAGCAATGAGAATCTGCTAAATGTAATGAACAATGGAGAATCCTTTAATTTCAAGAAGACTAGAAGTTTTGGTAAATATCATACTACAATGCTAGAACTGTAAATACAGCACTGCATTGGTATACTTAAATCAGAATGGGAAAATGATTATTTTTCTTTCAGAAATGGTCTGTGGAAAGCTCCAATTTGGTCATTTTGTGTTATTAAAGCTCATAAAGGAAGCATTGTGAGAATAACTGATTTAAAATGGTTTATATTTGGTATTTTTTCACAAGCAACTGATGTTACAGATTCATATTAAAAGGCAGGATGCAGACATTTTGTATTTCATAAAATCTGTATTGTGCATCAAGGTATATTTTAGGAAAATCTGTTTTGGAGCAGTGCCTCAGTGTTTTGATGTCTCAGGAGTAATAATTCCATGGCTGAATTGGCCACTTTTTTACAACCTTAAAAAAAAAAAAAAAGTTTAAAGTACTTAGCACCTGGGTCATGGCATGAATGCTCGTTTCTACTTCTACTCAAAAGAGGAAGGCTAAGCTTCCAAACAGGAATATCATGTCTCTAAGAACACCATGTTTTAAGTGATGATTATCGGGTCCCAAGACCGTGATCTATAAAATTTTAGCCAGAAATCTTTAGCTTGTTAGGAAGAAGTTCTTCAGTATGGGGGTGGTGAGACTTTGGAATCGATTGCCCACAGAGGCTGTGGATGCCTCCTCCCTGGGGGTGTTCAAGGCCAGGCTGGATGAGTCCTCAAGCAATGTAGTCTAGTTGAGAGGTGTCCCTGCCCATGGCAGGGAGGTTGGATTAGATGATCTCTAGGGTCCCTTCCAGCCAAAGCCATTCTGTGAAGTGCCTTTACACATCTGTTCAGTAGGCAGTTCAAACCTAACCATATGAAGTTCTGAACAGACCCTAATCCAATTGTGATGAGTTTCAGTTGGGTGTTTTGAAGAAAGAAGACTGCTGTAATGTATTAATAAATCTCCCTTTCTCATTTTCCAGCATTAAAACTTCCTTTTGGCAAAACAACAGTGATGCATTTGGTGGCTAGAGAGACATTGCCAGAGCCAAACTCTCAAGGTATGCTGCACACTGGAGGTATTTCGTGCTCAAGAACACAGCAGAGCGGTCAGATCTCTCACAGGCTTTTTGAGTATTTCATAGGAGAGAAAAGTCAAGTCCTTGTGGTCTTTTGTGAAGCAAGTGATGAAATGCTTTAATACGTGTTTTTAGAAAACTAAGAAATAAACTTTCTGGTGTAGTGTTTTTGTAGAATATAGAAATTTACTCAAAACTTAAAAGCTTTTGGTTTTACTGTTAAAAATTGCTCCTGATTTATTATCCAGTTATGCATGCATGTGTATAATAAAAAATAGTTTTAAAACCCACACTTATATCAGGCATGCTCACAAACAAACCAAGCTAACTGCTTTAGAAATAGCATGTAAGCAAAACTTTCTTCTTGCTCCACAGGTCAAAGGAACCGTGAAAAAACTGGAGAAAGCAATTGCTGCGTAATCCTGTAGACTCGTTAGCTTTACCTGCTAAGTGTGATGTAATATAGTCTTTGTCTTTCATGCTGCTGGAATAGAAGAGGCCCTACCTTGCTTCAGACACCTGTAGGAAGAGCCTGTCTGTAAATCCATGGAACTGAAATATTACACGAACACTGTCTCATTAGTCTTTTTTTTTTTCTTGGAAAAAAAGAGAAAGATACATGAACACTTTTTTTTTTTCTTTAATTCCTGCTTCTTGTTTGTTGAATAATCTTACAGTCCATCAGTTCTTGAAAGAATTCAATCTCCAGAAAAGTTAACGTGTTCTTTTCCATAGCAGGAATCGTTTTGCTACCACAGAAATCTCCATTAACCGGATCTAACCAGTCGAGCTTTCTAGATGCGATTTGCACTAAATGTGGTTGACAGTATGTTTCTCATCAACAACCTCTAACAATATTTGAGACACCTAGCAGTAACCCACAACGTATAATGCCACACTGGGAAACTGGATATCTAGAATTAAAACAAATCTCACTTATGGCCAAATGAAAGGGAAAACTGTTAAGTCAATTCTACCTAAGTCAAACCTGGTGGCCAAACTGGCACAGAATACTAACTAAACCAAGTCTAACTCTATATATTTTTCACTGCAACAAACAAACAAAAAACTATGTGCCTGTGATTTAAAAGCACTCTGTAGAGGGCTGATGAAAGTGATTTTTTCGTTACTGAGTGCGCTCTGATCTCGTACCTTAGCTGAGTGCTTATTCAGACAGCACAAACAAGTGGAGAGAGTGCATTTCCTAGCCTTAATATGGGAGGGGTAATTTCCTGTAGTTCATAGGCTTTTATTATTGTGCATAAATGTTAGAAAACATCATTTACTAACCAATTTTATGTATTTGAATATTGGCAATTGGTGTTTTTCAGTCATTTTCTCATCTGTACCTTAGTGTCCAGTGTCATGCTTACTCATTAGAGACTTCAAAAGAATGATTAAAGTTTAAAAAGCAAAAAGAAAAACCTTTGCCATAGTACTAGTTTTTGTTTCTTTATGTAATCTGCATTTGGTATTAGTGCTTGCAATTGTATTAAAATCAGAAGTTGATTTTTGAAGGCATACATAATTAAAAAGGATGCCATTCTTTTGTTTCATATCAATAATTTAAACGTTGATATGCTACAGAATTTTGCACAGCACTAAAGCATGAGCTAGTTTCATCTAAACCTGTAAAAAATAAAAATAAAAATAAATAAAAATTTAAAAAAATATAAAAGATTTTATATTTTTTCACTGGGGAGGAATTCTTCCTGGGTGAAATTACAAATATGTGTAGAATATATTTAATAAAAATCTTATAAAATACATAACTATAGAAGTTAAATATAGATTGGCGTGTAGCATAATAGAACAATATTCCATATAAATAGCTTTAGCCTTTAAAAAAAAAAATGAGTCACAGGTTGACGTTGTGTTCTGTACTTAAGTGTCCACAACTCTTACAGATGTTCTGTGTAATGGTTTTTTCGAATGATTGCCATCATTCAAATGTAATTGGGTTATTTTCTTCATTGTTACTGCTTTGACGAAATGCTTTATATGCAGTAGATTTACAAAAAAACATTGTTCATACTTATCAGAATTAAATTTGTATAGAGCAGAGTTTTAAAACAAATTGTAAATAGCACTAAACATTTTCTTTCTGCAACCTGTACTGATAGACTCTTCTGTAAACTAAATAAAAGAATATTGTAGTGCATTTCGGTGGTGTTTTAGGGGTTGTAATTTGGTCTGTAACTACTTTTAATAATACTTCTTAATCTGGAAATTGAGTACTCCATTTTATTTCTATTTAAAAAAGGGGGGAGGGGAAGGCAAAACCTGCTGAAAGCTGCTAATGGGTTTTATCGCTTCAGTTTTGTTTTCCTTTAATGTCAAAAGAAGTGGCCTAGAGGGTTTTTTTTCTCCTGTCAGAGAAGAATGTGAGTGTGGACGTTTGCAGTGCTAGTGTCCCTACAGGTGATCCCACCCTGGTGTCCCTCACAGAAGTTCCTGAGGTGACAGCATTATCCCTTCCAACCCAAGCCATTCTATGATTATGCTGAAATGCATCCTGGGGGTGGTTTTCCTTGTGCTCTGCAGTATAGTTTGTAAGTAAGTAACTACAGGGACACAAACTTTCTTATTTTAAAACAAAATGGTGAACATCAGCTTGAGAAAGCTACTTAGGAATGTGTGATCACCTTTAACTACACAATGAAACTTCTTTTTTCCAAAATGCTGAGCACCCAAGTAACACAGGCTCAGGTAATAAAGGGCTACAGCAATAAAGGAAAAAGAAATGGACTGGGACAGGACAGATTTTGTAGTTAAGTCTTTCAGGTGCTTTGACTTTGAGAAACGCATGTTTGAAATGTAATCTTGATTTGAAACAGCAGCTAGGTACTTGATACAATATAAATCCATGAAAACCCAGTAGCTTCTAATTAAAATATTTGGCGAGCTTGAACAGCAAAGTATGTGGAATTCCCTGATGGTGAGGTAAGATGCATATATGCACATGCCCAAGCAAATCCTTCAATGCTGCTTGGCATTTCAAGCGTGAGCTTGCCAAAATCACTCCCTCAGAAAGCGAGTAGAGCCGATGCCTTAATTTTCCTGCAAACTGTTTGAGTTCTGCCCATTGCAGAGCATTTCTGTTGTGGTGTGAGGCGGGTGGAAAACTGTGGGGGAGAACTGCTAAAAGATTTATGCTTTTTTCCTTGGATGCTCTGTGTTGTGGATTGTGTATTTGCCAGAACAAAAGCAGCAGCTCTTAATCCCAGATTCCTCAGCCTTGCTAAAGTTCAAGCATATGCTTCTCTTCTATGTTGATTGGAGTCAAGAGGATACTTGCAGCTCATAAAGATTAAAGCAAAGCCTTTGCAGGGTCAGGCTGTTGGACGGTCTGATGATATGTTGAAGAATTTGACATTTGATTTTTGCTCTTGGATAGCAATGATATTTTCCCTATGGATGAGTTAATAGATGTCATGAAGGAAGGGAAGGAGAGGATGAATTGGAGCCCTTCATATTCTGAAATGTCATGAAGGGGCCACATCTGTCTCTCATACCGTTGTGTGCGTTATCAGCCATAAATAAATACTCATGTGAGGAATAATATCTGGTAGCAATGAAAGTATTCTGTAGCTTCTATTTTCTTAAGTGATAAGAGAAAATAAGACTTGAGGATTAGCCCAGCTGCTGGAGTAGGTATGGCCTCTGTAATGTTAAAGGCCTTGCAAAGGTGCTGCGCTGATACTAACCAGGTGGTGACCTCTGCAGCCCCTGAGCACCTTTCCCTGATGTGCTGCACGTGCAGCTGGAGGAACAGGCACCTACCCTGCAAGAGAACAATTCAGCTGCTGCTGCTGCTCCTTGGGGAGGGGAGGTAAAGCTTGTGGTTTTTTGTGGTTCTCTGTGTGCTCTGATAAAGATTTGTTGGACAAATCTTACTTCAAAGAGCAAATAGGAAGGCAGATATACTTCTCCATCTAAAACTCGCTCACTTTATGCTGACTAAAATGATAAGCTTAAGCAAATTCTGGGTGCTATAGCCTGTGTAAATTGGCATTTAGACCATTACCAGCAGCTGCACCACTGAAACCCATTGGACGACTTTGCTTAAATGGGAAGAAATGCCAAGAGCCCTTCAGATTCTTAAAGGAGGGTCCCTACCCCCTTTACTTTGGAAGTACTTGGAATCTTCCTAGGCCTTCTGCCTTGGCCATAACTTGTCAGTATTGGGTTTATTTTCAGAATGCAATAGAAGGCCTTTGTTGTTGTTTGAGAAGCTGACAATATATGGTTCACAACAGTAAGTTGTTAAAACTCCACAAAAGGCAGTGGTGTACCTGTGCTCCCATGTTCGTACCTGTGAGGAGGGTCACGCTGCAATACCTGCTTTGTTTTGCAGTTCATTGTACCAGATGATAAAATTACAAAACCACCTTTATGCTTTGGGGTTTTCCAATAGTTAACGATTGACTCTTTTGTTCTAAATTGATAAGGTTTTTTTTAATTAATATAGAAAGTGAATGACCAGTGAAATAGCACATGGTGAATGTTATTAAAGTCAAGCTCACAAAAAAGGTAGTGGTCCCTTATCAAGCTCATGGGATGGATCACAGTGACAAATGAAGTTTGGTTTTGAATGTAAAGGATGGTGTAGTGAAAGAAAACAAAGTACTCATACAAACAACTCTGTTTTAAAATTACCTAGATCAGTCCAGAACTGAGTTCTGGGCATCCTGGGCAAACACTTCTACTGCAAGCTCTTTATGGTTTGGAAAATTGTAACAAAAATAATGAGACAGAAGGACTATTACAGAGAGACTGAATAGGATGAGAGGTTAAAATAGCTACAGTGAGAAAATGGAGAACTTCTATTTTTGTCTTATAACTGTATTGGCCCAATTTTTATATTAGTCTTTAAAGCAGAGGTGATAAATTCAAATCTGATAGAAACATTTTTCATGAAATCAGTGGCACATAATTCCACCAGCAATAATTTGGGGAGAAAAGCTGAGAAAGATTTAAAAGGAATATCCATAATTACATTGATGAAAATTGATAGGATTTTCAGAATTACCATAATAGGAGATAAAATCTTTTCTCAACAAGGCAAGAATTTTTATCTCTCAGATATCACCCTAACTTTCAATGAAGAGCCCAGTTCTTAGGGGAAAATACTTCTGGCACATTGCCACCTTCATTATGTCCAAGGAACTGCACAACGAGCCCCAGCCTGTGCAGGACAAATGTGTCATGCACCCTGGTAAGAGTTTGTCTCTACAAACCCTCTGCTTCATGAGGAGAATTTTGAGTCGGGGTCAAGGTGATATTTGTGCTTTCCTGGAGCAGCCTTGAGGGCAATAAGTTACTGTGCTCAGGTGCTGGAGAATGAACTGCAGCTCCTGAGGGCAGAAGCAGTGCAAGATGAAAGCGCCCTGCTTATATCAATTCAGAAGATGCTGAACTTACAGGTAGTAAATGTTTTGACTTTTCTACCAGAAAAATGCTCTTCAGCTACTTGTTTGCTTGGTTTTTTTGTTTATGGAGGTAGGGATGAAACAGCGAACAACTTTATTTTGTGCTTTTATCTATTCTCTGAACTAAAGATCAGGAGGAAGTGATGGGGTACACTTTCAATGCCTACTGTAGGATTAACCATTAAATGGCTGGTCAAAATTCACCTACCAGCAACTATCCATGCCACAAAGAGCAGCTGTGGGAAAGAGGCGACCACTGCCCATAGTGTGGCAACTGGAATGGCCGGGGTGATGTGGCTGAGGTTGTGAGCTGAGGGGCAGAAGGGGGTGACACTTGGTCACTTCAGGAGGCTTTCAGTTCTTGCCTGGCAAATGAGGAGATTGGGATCTTGCACTACTCATTGGGGGACAGAATAACAGAGTGGAACTACCTGTAAGGTTAGGTTGGTTGTTTGGTTCTTTTTAAAATAATAATATAAAAATCCATGACACTGGAAGTCAGCTGCATTGGATCATAGAATCATTAAGGTTGGAAAAGATCTCTAAGGTTTTAAAGTCAAATCGTCATCTGACATTGCCATGACCATAAAACCATGGCCCCAAGTGCCACATCTACACATTTTTTGAACCCCTCCAGGCACGGAGATGCCACCACCTACATGGGCAGCCCGTTCCAATGCCACACCACGCTTTCAGTAAAGAAATTATTCTGAACATCCAGTCAAAACCTCCCCTGGATGGATGATACTGTACTTCCAGACCAAGACAGGGAAATAAGTAACACGTGTCTGTGATACCTGCATGTGTCTGTTACCTGTGCTGGCTAAATTAAAGAATGATTGAGTTTCAGTTCTTTAACTGTCCCTAAGCAAGGATCACTGATCCCAAGTGCTGCCAAGGTTGTGTCTGTGCCCTAGCAGGTGGTGGAGCTGGCAGGAGCTGCCCCACAGCCTCCCTGCGTGGAGAGTCGGCGCCACAACTGCACACACCAGTGCCAGATGAAAAACGTGGGTCTGAAATGGGAGGAAACAGCAGTGTGGCAAGTCAGCAAGGGCCCGGGCAAGGGAACTCTACCAAATCCACACAACTCTACCAGCTGCTGTCTGTCAGCGGAATAAATTCAGTGGATGTTCTTCTGGAAAGCAAAGAAGCAAGATTCTAATCTTGTGCTCTTGTGTTAACCAAGTGATGTCAGCCAAATCGTTTGGTTCCTGGTCACCCTGATTGCCAGCATCCCAGGGAAAGGTCTCTCAACAGACAGATACAAAGGCTGCCTCAGACTCTATTTTTCCTGTCTTCTGAGCAATGACTGTCTGGATTCATCATCGAAGTCTTCAAGCATCCCATCTTTCTGATTTTCTTCCAGCCTGGTGCTTCTGGCTGCAGTTGGCAGAGGTCACCACCAGACACATGCTCTGCTGAGCTGAATCCGTGGCAAGGACTGGAAAAAGACCTTGCCAAGGTGGATGCAGTGTGCCTCTGCAGCTGTCTCTGCTGAGCTGTGGGCAGGCTTCCACAGCTCTGCTTGTTGGTGGGTAGTCTGAACCGACTAGATGCTTGGCCTTACCCAACTTGAAAGAAGCAGATGCAGCAAGATCTCATTGAAGATGTGCTGCCACTAGTGGGATGGGGGGACTGGGTCTTCCAGACAGTCTTGTGGGGGACCAGGTTTGAGCCTGTGGCTTTAATTTCCCTCGTTGTCCAGGCAGCTGCTGCCAGCCAGTGAAGG